ATCCCTACTAAAAAAGGATACCAAATGAAAAAAACAACTTAAAATAATCTGCTATGCAGACGACGCAGTACTACTCTCTGATGATTTACTATACTATGAAGATGATTTACAACGTATGTTGCACAATTTAAGGCAGAATATATATGCAAAAGGGCAGATAATAGAACAAGTGATTTAAGTATCTAGGCACCACATTATCTAGCTACGGAAAGCTGGAAACTGAAGTAGAAGATCTAGTGAATGGAGCAAACAGAGACGCAGTTGGCCTTAATAAAACAATATGAAGAAATAGAAATATCGGGAGAGGAACGAGAGTTCAAAAGTTCAAAAACAGTTGGAAAAATTGATGGTTAGACACTATGGACAGACCTAGAAGCACAGATATACGATGTAGATGCAAGGTTGAGAACATCAAGTACTGGGTAAGAAACAGAAGATTAGAATGGGTTGATCATATAGGCCGAATGACAACAAATAGAGTAGTAAATACGGAAAGAGACGGTTCCTTAATAGGAAGACGATCAGTAGGAAGACCACGAAAACGATGGAACGACAACTTACTGGAGGCACATTGGAAAACAGACAGAGTCATGTCTATATAAAAAGAAGAAGAAGAATTAGTTATTGTAATTCAACAATATATTGAATGAAACATTAATATTTACTATTATCGACATTTAACCAAACAACTGCGTTTCAAAAAAATATTTCTAGTTTTACGTCACGAAGTCGTACAGTCCTGTCTTCCCACCATTATCTATCCCATAACTGGAAGAGAGTTATCCGCGCGGGTGTGTATTTGTTTCCATTAAAAGTCTCGCATTCTCCATTACAACTCTTTCTAGCGGACAATTGTCTTTCTAATTTCCTTTCTTCCATTGTTCCTACTGTGCATTCTTTAATCTACCGGAAGGGTTGCAAAAAGGATTCAAAAGAAGCGTGGAAACCATATTCTTTTTACTTTTGTTTTGGCGATAATGTGAAATATTTCCTTTTGAGACAAAAATAAGTATTTAGACGTGAAACGTCGCCTTCAATATATATTATAGGTCTGTGATGCAAAATTTTCCATTTCTCTTTTATTTCAATTTAATAGCACAATATTTGATGGAAAATATAATGCTCTACAAAATTGTCGGTACATTTTTGAAAAACATTTATTTTTTACTGATACTGCTACTCAAAAAATGATGTCAAGCAACTAATATTAAATTTGAACAAATTCAATAACAACTATGTGTTAATCATCTCAGTTATTATTAATGAGACCTAGTAAGTTCTTTTTTTTATGTCCTTTGGCCAGCGTTGAATGTTAGCGGTACTAGTTGCAAACATTTCTCTGTTTTTTCATGTTTTTTGTAAATACTTCGAATTTACACACAAAATTAAATATAAAAATATGGAAGAAGGATAGGAAATTTCTTATAGAAACCTCGATCGACGTTAACTATACGAATATCGTTGATAGCCTTGATTAAATTATGAGCACGAAGAAATATAAACTACATGGTCGGCAAAGCGAACCAACGATTTCCCCGAATGATAAAAGCCGTAATGGGTTCGGAATACCACGTTAAAGATATTCTAAGAAATAAAGCAAAACTTCTGGAGAACAAAGCCACGGGAAAATTCTCAATAATTGACGACAAGACGTCCATCCAAAAAGTAAGTTTAAAAGAACTGCGAAGCAAACTAAAAACTCGCAAAAATAACAGTGAACATGATGTAACTATTAAAGATACTAATTGAACTCCCAGAATCAAGAAATATCCTTTATAATTTTTGTACTGACACAAATTTGTAAAAGAGAACGTCTTTTCAAATGACATACAGATTAAGAGAGGCGTCAGGCAGGGCTGTGTCCTGTCTCGTACTTTGTTCAATTTGTAGTCAGAGGAAATAATCCAGGAAGCACTACAAGAACTAACTATGGGAATAAAAGTAAATGGGAAACCAATTAATAATATACACCGCCAATAAAAGATAACAATACATGGAGAACAAATTTAAAAAGTTGAAAAATTTAAATATCTGGGTACAATAATTAACGAAAATAATGAGTACACAGAAGAGATTTAGGCAAGAATAGTACAGGCAAGAAATTCGTTCAACAAATTAAAAAAAGTATTCTGCAGCAGGGACATTTCAATTTCTTTAAATATAAGACTTCTGAGATGCTACGTGTTCTCCGTATTATTTTATGGGTTGGAGGCTTGGACATTAAAGAAAGATGTTTCGGACAGATTAGAAGCCTTCGAGTTACGGGCCTACAGGAGAATATTAAGAATAAGTTGAGTAGATATAGTCACAAATGTTGAGGTGTTGAGAAGAATGGAAAATGATAAAGAGGTTTTAAATACAATTAAAATTAGAAAACTGCAATATCTGGTACATGTCATGAGTGGCGAGCATTATAACTTATTGCAATTAATAATGCAAGGAAGAGTATGGGGTAGAAGTTGCCAACCTTCTTAGAGGAAATAGCACATGAAGAAGAAGAACTGACAAATTTAATAACTAACTATTTCTAAATACTAATTTAGATTCACTTTCCATTAAGTTTGACGAATTTGTATGGACAGTGCAACTTCTTTAACTGGACATTATTTGTATTGAAAAAGCCTGGCTTAAACTCTCAATTTCTGACTCCTCTGTTAATATAAATACAATAAAAAATACAATATATCGTAAAGACAGAGAAAATCGTATAAGTGGCAGTGAATGTGTTTATTTATCTAATATTGTTACCACAACTTTCAAAATTAACATTAAGCTATTAAGATATTCCTGGAATAGATACAATTCAGTAACCTGTAACTAAAAATCCTTTTTGTCTTAATTTAGTATGTATCTATCGTCCACATGTTACATTACTTGCACACGATTATGTTTACTTTACAGAACTTAAAGAACTATCATCTCTTAATAATCTTATCATTTCTAGAGATTTTAATTTCCCATAGATCATCTAACCAATAACTTTATTATCTGACGCCGAAAACGCTCGTAATTTATTTAAAAGCCTTGTAGTAAATTCAAACCTGAAACAACTCATCACAGAACTCACAAGATTTAGAATTCGAACCTCCTACTTTAGATCTAGTACTTATTAATGACGAATAGCTGATTTTATCTCTGGAATTCAGTCCCTTATTGGCGACGTGCAAGTACTTGCAGAGGATACGAGAAACGATCGTGCGCGAGTAGCGGAGAAATTTTGCATTTTTTAGTGCACATTTCATAGATTTCATAAATTCATATTGTCAATTGTCATATTTCATAGTCGTTTTGTTTATTTACATTTACACCTTCTGTCTCTGAAGAAAATGGGATTTAGGAAATGCTGTGTTATAAATTGTAAAAATACAACAAAAAATTGTCAATTTAAGTTTTATTCGTTTCCAACTTCGAAGCATAAAGCTACTACAAAGAGAAAAGTGGATTTATATCATAAAAAAGCATAAGTAACATAAGCCAAATTATGCATTATTCTTGCGCCCGATTTTAAAGTCAGTTTGAAATAAATAATAAATAAAAGTTCTCTTTTAAGTGTAAATTTTAGTTTCATAACACTCACTTAGAGTTCATTTTAACCCAAAAATCAAGTTTAATGTTTAAATTTTATTTTTTTGAAGTTTACAAGAATGCATCAAGTTCAAGTTTTTCTGAAGATGCATTAAGATATATTTGCTGTCCAAAAGTTTACAGGGAAAGAATTAATTGTTCAAACCAATATGATGATATCATGGGCTTAACCTGCTAATTTATGCATTAGCATTATTTATGGTAATTTATTTTTCTTAATTCTTCCATTATTTTTTGACATTTGCCACTACTAAAGCTTTTCCCTTTGACTCAGTGCTTGGTTGAAAAGTTATTTGGTGATTTACTTTCTCAAATCCAGTTTTTATTATTGAATCCATACTAACAGTAATGCTTAATATGGATTCATATGGATCAATAATATATTTATTTGTAATTGGTAAAGAAATAATAAATAAGACTTACTCACAATCAATTTAATTTAACTATCAGACGACCGGTTTCGCTTTCTACAATATGCAAAGCATCCTCAGGTCTCGATACAAAGTTAAACAAATGATGCCGGTACTCTATTAATTGATGGATGGTAGAACATGGTTGAAACTACTATATATTGTTGAATGGAGAACTCAACTCTATTATTGCAGTTGTTTGACAGTAAACGGGAAGTTCTTGAGGAGATAGATTTGATCCAATGAAGAAGAGATATGTGTGTGATTGTTTGTTAAATGAAAGTAATGTAATATACCATTGTGTTATTAAAAGCTATTTATACGTCTTATTCGAGATATATTTTTGAAATGTGTGTTATTTATTGAGTAATTGTTTTAAGAAGGTGACAGTTTTATGACAATGAATAAGTTTAAATGTAAAAATTGTGTGGGTGTGCAATTATTTTCCAACCTGTAGTTAACAAATTACTTTGATAAAGTTCTATTGGCAATTAGTAAATTATTGGAAAGTCAAGTGAATAAAATATTAAAATACAAACAATTAAGGACAATTTAAACACACTAAAACAGAAAACACTTAGAAGGGACGAAACAAACATTGAATTTAAAAAAGGGAGGAAGAGCTTTAATGCACTACATCGTAGTCTTGGGCACAATGAGTTTTTTTTTATGTTTTATCTATTAGATTTAAATAGATAAATCTATTTATGTAATAAATATTAATGTATATACAATATGGTCTTAGAAATAAATAAAGAAAGAATAAGACTTTCTTAGTACGATCATTTGTAATTCTCGATTGACGCCATTCTTATGTATTTCGTCGAGCTATTTGCAATTCAAAATTTGCATAATACACTTTTGTATGTACATTCTTAAAAGGGAAACGTGAAAAATATTAGAAGAAGCAAAGGTTCTATGTATAAAAAAGCAATTACTCCTATTAACAAGTTTAAATTGTTATCATAGAGTAAATATATTTAAATAAAACGAAATAAGACTTACCCGCTTAAAAGACACTGAAAATATAACAATTTTAGTTTTTTACTTAATGTTTTGATTCACTTACACATATTCTGTTAAACTGACACTTTGATATTTATTTACGAAACGTAAGTGCATTGTCAGGTTGTCACAATTAGACTGATCGTAATAATAATTAAAAATATATGTTTTGAAAAGGGCATTTACAAAAAAAGAAGAAGAAGAAAACGAACAAAATATTTCATAAATGAATAGATATTCATTCAAAAATATGATAGAAAATTAAAAAAATTATTACATATTTTTTACTAATATGATTTAACAGAATCTATATTATTTCTTTATAAAAAATATTTTTTTGGTCTGGATCTAATTCTGTGTTGATGTAAGCTCCCAGATATTTATATTTTGTCACTCTCTCTATTTGCTGTCCACCAAGAGTTAGTTGTTCATTATTTATTGGACTCCTTGATACTATCATAAATTTGGTCTTATCTGTGTTGATGTCAAGTCCCATTTGAATGCATTCACTATTTATTGCATCTAGTAAAGTTTGTAGATCTTCTATACTCTCAGCCATAATTACCGTGTCATCTGCAAATCTCATGGTGTTTATGATTTCTCCACCAATTCTTATTCCCTCTTTTCTTTCCCATAAGGCTTTTCTGAATATGACCTGTGAGTACACGTTGAAAAGCGTCGGAGACAAGACGCATCCTTGCCTAACCCCTCTCGCAATCGGTATATTATTTGTTTCTATATCGTTCACCTTTACTACTGCTTTCTGGTTCCAGTATATAGCCTTAATAAACTCAATGTCTTTTTTGTCTAAATTGATGTTTTTTAATTCATCTATTAACTTCATATGCTGCACTCGGTCAAAGGCCTTCCTAAAGTCTATGAAGCATACATATGCACTCTTGTTATATTCCCGACATTTCTGCAAGAGTACCGTCAACGCAAATAATGCCTCTCTTGTTCCCATGCCTCCTCTGAAGCCAAACTGAGTTTCATCTATCTGTTCCTCACATTTCTTATAAATTCGGTTTTGAACAATTTTCAAAAGAATCTTTAAAGGGTGGCACATTAGGCTTATTAATCTATAGTCATTACATGATTTGGGATTGTTGTTTTTTGGTAGAGGTAAAAATATCGATTTAAGCCATTCTTCCGGGATGTTGCCCTCTACATATATGTGGTTGAGAATTCGGGTGAGTCTCTTTATATTACCGTCATCTAAGGCTTTTAACAGTTCAACTGGAATTTGATCAGGACCCGGTGCTTTTCCTTGTTTTGCATTCTGTAGGGCATTCTTTACTTCTGAGGGTAAAATTTGTAGGTATTGTTTTTCTTCACCTATATCTTGTTCATTTTCTCTCTCGTCATGGAAAAGATGGATTATATATTGTTCCCATACTTCCTTTATTTTGCTCTCTTCAGTAAGTATTTCTCCATTATTATCTCTTGTTATGAGTGTTCTTCTTTGTCTGGTGTTGCCTGTAAGTTCTTTAATTTTTTTATGTAAGTTTGAGGTGTCATGTTTGTTGCTGAGTTCTTCCAATTCCTGGCATTCTTTGTTCATCCATTCCTCCTTAGCCTTTCTGATTTCATATTTGATTTTATTCTTGATGGTTTTATATTTATTTTCATCTTTATTTTTGTATTTTCTTTTTTCAGTTATTAGCTCAACTATTTCCGGTGTCATCCAGTCTTTTTTAGTTATTTTCCCTTCTTCGCCTAGGACCTCCTTTCCCGCTTTTAGTATGGCTTTTTTCATATCTGCCCATTCAACGCTTCCTTCAGTTAATTTATTTATCTCTGCGTTTAGTTGCTGTTGGCAGTTGTCGTCTTTTAGGTTTTTGATGTTAATTTTGGTGGTTTTAACTTTTTTCTCCGGTTTCCTGAGTTTAATGTTGACGTTTGCTAGTAATAGATTATGATCCGTATCTGCATCTGCGCTTGGATAGGTTTTTGCACTTTGTACTCCATTACGAAACCTTTTGTTAATCGTTATAAAATCTATTTGGTTTCTGATTATATTGTTGGTGTTATCTTTTGGAGAAGTCCACGTGTATAATCTTCGTAGGGGTAGGTCGTAGTATGTATTTGTTATGACTAATTCTTTCTCCTGGCAGTACTGGACTAGTCTGTCTCCTCTTTCGTTTCTTTTACCTAACCCAAAATTTCCTACTATATTTCCAGTTTTTCCTCGACCGACTTTAGCATTAAAGTCGCCCATAATTATTTTTACCTCCTGCTTCTTTATGTTTTTTGTTAACAGTTCTAAGTCCGCGTAGAATTTTTCGACCTCAGCATCATTGCTATCAGATGTTGGAGCATACACTTGGATTAGATTTATGTTTAGAGGTTTGGCTTTCAGCTGAAGTAGCATCATACGTTCGTTAAAGGGAATGAAATTTGTCACAAACTCTTTTAAGTTATTGTTGATAATAATACCAACACCATGGCTGTGTTCTCCAGTGCTTTTGCCTGAGTAGAAAATAGTATTATTATCCTTGGTGTAGTTTCCAGACTTTGGCCATCGGACTTCTGAAAGGCCCAATACTTGTATGTCTAATCTCTCCATTTCTAACATGACTGTTGTTAATTTTCCTGCTTCATAAAGTGTTCTTATATTCCACGTTGCTATGCGTTTTAAATCGCTTACACTAAATTTGTTTCTCCACCCGGGGATTCTTCGCACCCCTGTCCCATTAAAGGGACGCCGGGCACTCGGGGCCACTGTTTGATTTACGTCCATTTGTGGTTGTTCTTGAGAATCCTTAGGGATCTTTAATGCAGTGGTTTCTCCTTGCTTTCTGCATCCTTATGCCGTTGATCTTGGTTCATCCGCCTTTGTGATCGATTTCTCAATCTCAGGACAAAAGAGTGCCCTTCCACTTACCAACTCATCCGCCCGAAGCCGTTGGTCAGTAAGTGGGGGTTTGCTTATACCGGCAAACATTCGGTGATTTCGCAGTGTCACAACCGGTTAAATCATAATTACCGCCTGTGATTATTCATATCAGACCGGTAAAGAGATTTTCTCTACCGCTCCGATCCTGTAATGACATAGCAGCTGCCCTATGCCATGCTCTCAGTTGATCCGCGGGTGTTTATTTGGCAGAGCCTTATTCACACCTGCCCCACATATCTGTAGGACGTTCCCTATCAGCCATTGGGACGCGCCGTGTTGAGGTTGAGAACTACCCCCCTCCGAGTGTGTTTTCCAAGAAGTACTGAAGAGCCCCTACTCAATTCAGAACTCCTCCTTCTTGGAAACTACACCGGCACGGGTATAATCATTACCATCAATAAGCCTATATTTGTCCACTGCTGAACGTAGGCCTCCCGTAAAATTTTACCAGCTATTTCTATCTTGAGCTTCTTGCATCCAGTTTGTGGTGATGCGCTTAATATTAACCGCCCGTCTAGTCGGTGGTCGTTCTCTGCTTCGATATACATCTTGCCTTGATCGCTATTCCAGAGTCTTTCTGGTCCATCTATCATCCGTTAATCTGGCAACATGGGCTCAAGCCCATTTAGCCATGGCTATTTTTTCAACTGCATCTGTGACTACTGTTCTTCTTTTTATTTCTAGGTTTGATACTTTATCTCTGATGGTAATACCTAATATTGATCTTTCCATAGCGTGTTGTGTAACTCTTATTTTATCTATTGTTCTTTTTGTCAGAGTCAGTATTTCTGTACCATATGTAAGAACCGGTAAAACGCACTGGTTAAAACCTTTCTTTTTAAACATACTGGGATACTAGACTTAAAAATGTTATTCAATCTACCAAACGCAGCCCATTTGAGACCCATCCTTCTTTGTATTTCTGTTGTCTGGTTATCTCGGCCTAAGCGAATCTCATGCCCTAGATATTTATAAGCTATTACTTGGTCGATGCTATGGCTGTAAATCAGAATTTTACCGCTGACTACAAGGTTGGTCATGAATTTTGTCCTTGAGGTGTTAATTTTAAGACCAATTGTTTTTGACACTTTATAGAGCGTGTGCAGCATTTTTGTAGCTTTATCAACTCTATCAGATATTAAAACGATGTCATCGGCAAATCTTAGGTGGTTCAGATTTTCCCCATTTATATTAATTCCCATATTATTCTGTAATTCCATTTGCTTGAACATATATTTTTTGAAGTAAATTGAAGTATTTTGAAGTAAATTTTAACTGTAAATGAAAAACTTTACTTGCCTCTTATAAAACCTCCCATCAAATAGCTAGATGTAAAAAGCCTCACACTATTGGTCAAGAGCTTATTTCGGCAGCTGCAATTCAAATTATAGAAACTGTGTTTGGACATAATTTTGCCAGAAAATTTGAGTCTATACCTCTATCAAATGATACTGTTGCCCGTCTAATTTGTGATATAGCTGAAGATGTACAGAATCAGCTACTCGGGAATTTGCGCGACAAGCTGTTTTCGATTCAGCTTGATGAGGCAACAGATAGCAATAAAGATGCTCATTTTATTGCCTACGTTCGATTTTGTGATGACAAATCATTAGTAGAAGAACTACTTTTTTGCAAACTAATAGAACTGGAAGCAACGTCGCTCGCATTATTTGCTATCTTAAACGATTATATAAATCAAGCAAAAATAGAGTGGAAGAATTGCGTCGAAATATACACAGATGGTGCTCGTGCAATATTCGGAAAATTTTATAGTCTACAAGCGCTTGTGAAACAAAAGTCTCCAATGTGTATATGGACACACTGTATGATCCACAGAGAAGCTCTGGCTTCCAAAGAAATGTCTCCTGGCCTGAATATTGTGGTAACAATGGTTGTAACAGTAGTTAATTACATAAAAATGAGACCTTTAAAAATCACAATCTTTTCTGTACTTTGTAAAGACATGGGTGCATTACATTCAACATTATTATTTTACTGTGCGGCAAGATGGTTATCGCGTGGGGAATTTTTACGTGTTTTTGAATTGAGACATGAAATCGCTACTTTTCTAGAAGAAAATAGACCGTAAGCCGAGCTACTTGGTTGACATATTCGAGAAACTAAATATTTTGAACATTCAGCTTTAAGGAGCCAACACACATATATTGGATACGAGTGATATAGTTAATGGTTTTTGTAAAAACCA